GACGGTGCGCCGTGCGACGCGGAGCTGCGCACCGGCATGGATCTGGCCCTCTGGCCTCATCTATGGCGCAGTGGCGCTGGATGCTGGGGCGGCGGCCCTAGGGAGCGGCGGTCCCCTCCTCTCTTCCTCGCGGTGGAGGAGCGGCGGGTGACCGTTTTGGCGGCGGATCGAGGCGTTCTGCTCGGATCTGATGGGCGCGCGCCGTCGCCGGATGTGGCGGTGCTGGCCGTCCTGGGCCGCATGGGTGGCAGGGCGGCTGCGCGTGGTGGAGGCCCCGACGCCTCTGGCCCTTGGCGGCAAGGAGGGCCTGGGTTGGGTCGACGCCATGTGTGGGTTGCCCTCCGGACAGATCTGATCTGGCCAGTGCGACCTCAATGTGCGGCGGCTCAGATCGACGGCGGCCCGTGCACACGATGCTGGATGGCGGTTCCTTCAGCGGATCCGGGTGAAAACCTAGTTCTTGGCTTGATGCCAAGACCGGCGTTGGCGGCACTTTTTCGTGTCATTACCTTCTTGAAGGCCTCACCGTGGAGAAGCTCCAGACCTCTATCCGCTACCTCCGGGGGAAACCCTAGTTCAGTAGATCAGATGACGGCGGCGCGTTGGTGTCGTTTCCTCCTTGGGGGCGTCATTCTTGGAGGCGTACACGGGTTCGAGGGACCAGTGGGCGGTTTTTTTGGTGGAGCGGTGCTTCATCCTGCACATTGATGATGGCGGATCTCAGCGGCGTGGTGCAGTGGAGACTCGGCGCCCGATGCGCGGTGCTGGACTCGCGCAGGAGGAGGTTACTGTTTGGCGTCATGGTGACGTCGATGGCAGAGTAGCCAGACAAGGTAGAAGCGTCAATACGATCTGAAGACCTGTGGAAGATGGCGGCGACGACACACGAGTGCGTCTGACCGGATTGTGCCCCAGACCCGGTATGTGGCTCGGCTGGGGCTTTCGAATGAGTTTCGGCTTCCGGCTTTTGATGTTAGGCTTAGGTCAGTGGTTTGGGTAGTGGGCCAGCTAGCACCCCTTCATCATATTGGATAGGAGTAGCGGCATATGTTGCCAAGATGGTGGATTCAGGCACATTGTTGTAATACTTTGTAAGGTCCTCGAGAATAATCAATAAAGTGGCCGTATGCATCTCCCAGATGCAGAGGCCGGGGGTCGTCGTCCTTTTCTAAAAATAAAATAAAATATAGTAATACTATTCATCACCCATGATTCAGAATAAGTTATTCTTCATCCGAGATAATCTTAGGATTGTTTTTTAAATAAATTACATTTGGTATACAAATTACTTCATAAGTAAAAAGAGAATGTAAGAAAATATATAACCGTCGTAAAAAATATTTTATGTTACATAAAATTACAAACCTAAAAACATAGTGTAAAATATACATAAAATGCAATTTTTCTGTTCTTATGACCTATATTTCTGTTTCCTTATGCCTAATTTTACATAGTGAATCAGCATGAATGTACCTATTTGTATACCAAATGAAATATAACAGCCGTAAGATTTTTATTCTTCACCCTGGATAATGAATAGTATTACTACATACTCCCTATGTTCCAAAATAAGTGTCTTAACCTTAGTACTCCCTCCGTTTTTATTTACTTCGCGTATTAGCTTTGGTCAAACTCAAACTTTGTAAACTTTGATCAAATTTATAGACAAAAATATTGGCATATAGGATAACAAATCAATACCATTAGATTCATTGTTGAATGTACTTCCACATCTTACAGATTTGTTATGGTAAATATTTATATTCTTTTTTATAAACTTGGTCAAACTTTAGAAAGTTTGACTTTAGTCAACTCTAATATGCGGAGTAAATAAAATCGGAGGGAGTACAACTAACTTTGTACTAAAGTTAATACAAAGTTGAGATGCTTATTTTAAGACGGAGGAAGTATTATATATATATATATATATATATATATATATATATATGTATATATATATATATATATGTATATCTGTGTGTGATGATAAATAATTATTGGATCATTTATCTGTTCATTGTGCACTGGCCAAACATGCCATGTGTGGATCAATTGCTTCTTCTCTACAATGTGGCAAAATATGTTTGGTGGAAGATGTGTTTTTTCAAATTCCTGCAATCCAAAGAGGCTCTAAATTTGTCCGTTGTGAGTAGAAATTAAGTTGATGCAAGGTAGTATATGCTCTGGTAGATTTGGAAAATCAGAGACGCAGCACCAGCTTTCAGTTGTGTACAAACATACTTCCGTTGTTATTTCATGTTTAATTTTTCTTCGCCTATATATACTACAACAGCAAATATAGTTCCCACGTTTCAGTAATCAGTTCCGTCTTCACGCTAACGAACAAAATGATTGGACAAGGTTTGAACGTGGAGGACAGCACGTAGCCCCAAGTGCTTCAGGTATATATACTGTCACCTGGTCAGATTTGTTTTTCTACATGTGTGCACTGCACCACTGTTTCGGCACCCTCTAGCGGGAAAATGAAACCGATAATCCGTTTCCAGAGTCCAGACCTAATCATTCAAGCGGTCGTTCAAGGCCAGCTTGAAAGTAAAATAGTTTCACAAAAGGTGATGAGAAGTAGAAAGTCTTCTAAAGTAAAACTGTTTTTCTTCTGTGTGCATATCCAACAAAACCCCAAGATTTGGTTTATTTCTTGGTTCCCTTCTTGTCTACACGATCTCACGGTTCAAGTGGAAATCGCAGCATCAACTCGTTTTGAACGCAGTGCACTGTGCCGGACAAGTGGCCATGCATCGTACTCCACCCCAGTACCATGAGAGAGAGAGAGAGAGAGAAGATGCTTGACTTGACCAGAGAAAGAAGGCAGGTGAACAGGCGATGGCTTGGCATCTGCGTCTTCAAGGGCAAAAGGTGCAAAAGCTCTGAGCAAGTTCCAAAGCCGAGGAGAGAGATATAGAGAATGCCTCCCTTCCCAGAAATTATGCAAAAGGGAAAGCTTCCTCCTCTTTTTTCCATTTCAGGGTCTGTCTGGGCTGGAGCCCCTGTTCCAGAAATTGTACTTGGGAGGATCCAGTACAAAAGCACGAGGTGAGAATCTCATCTCGCGCGCAGTGTGAATTTCGGGCTTGGCGTCTTCCCCTCCCTCTCTACTGCAGATTCAATAAATGATCGGTACAGTAGCATCGCTGCCACTGCCACTTTCTCATCTATGCTTTGCTACCTACACGTACTAATGTATAGCCTTCTGTGGCTGTGCATATAATCACACACATAATTGAAGGCAATGAAAGGCCAAATTGACTGAGCACTGGAGTGTCAGCTGCTCAGCTGAGCCCCCAGAAGGCAGAAGCCATTGAAGACTGCATGCAGGTGAAACAAATAGAGAGGGACAGAAGGCTTTTGGCCTGAGCTAGGAGGGGGCGTATGCAGCAAAAACTGAGTACTACCTCCACCATCAGGCTGGTCATAGTGGGGAGTAACTTATACTAGTGTGATGCATATAACACTAGTCTAAGATACTCCCTTCGTTTTAATTTATTCTGCATATTAGAGTTGACTGAAGTCAAATTTAGTAAAGTTTGACCAAGTTTATAGAAAATAATATAGTCATTTATCATAATAAATCTATATAATGTGAAAGTACATTTAATAATAAATCTAATGTTGTTGATTTGTTATTGTATATCTTAATATTTTTTATATAAACTTGATCAAAGCTTGTAAAGCTTGACTTTAACCAAAGCTAATATGCGAACTAAATAAAAACGAAGGGAGTACTATCTTCATAGTGCAAAGTAAGGCCTCCTTTGGTTTAGAGGAATTTCATAGGAATTCTAGAGGATAGGATTCTTATAAATTTTTTTCCTTTAGAGCCCTTTGGTTCATAGGAATGGATTCCTATTCCTACATAGGATTGATTCCTATCCTCCACATTTCATAGGAAAATAAAAAAGAGCCTAGACTCAATGGAAAAATTTCTTTGGTGTCAACCAAATGACATCTTGTTTCCTATTCCTACTCATAGGATTTGAGATACATGTCATCTCATTTCCTACAAGATTCATATTCCTATGATAATCCTATTCTATGAACCAAAGGAGGCCTAACATAGTACTAGTGTCATAGATGACTTCATTTATTAGCTTGTAAACTCATCTTGTATTGGGAAGCGTTATGTTACAGTAACATATTATGTTACTATTTCTCATTAACTACTTGCCACATAAGCAAAATTTTCTTGAAATGCGCTATGTTACTAGCTAAGTTACTCCCACTATGACTAGCCTCATGTGGCTCCTCATAGGAAGAAGAGCTTAATTCATGGACCGAGACATGCTAGTTTGCATATACTCCTACCAGTACTGTACAATTTATATCTTGATGTAAAGCACAGTGTTCCAAACACATGCACGCTTTAGACCAAGCTAGGGCTTACAAATTTTGACCAGCACGGGAACCCATCGATTCAAGAATTGACCGTAGATGTGCAATTTATATGTCATGGAATGCATGTGAAACGCTGGAAGCAACCGTGCATGCATGCATGCATGAAGTTTGCCATGGAAACGAAAGGGGAGCAAAAGTTTCAAGGAACATCATTCTACAGCAAGATACATCCAGATCATAGAACAGAACATTACAAACGAAAACGAAGAGGAAGGGAAAGAAAAACACTCGTTGTTGCCAGAAAAACAAAACATTGGATCTCACTGACCTTTCAACTTATTGAGAATTTGATCTTGGACCAACTGTTTCTTGTCCCTTGAATGATCAGCTTCCTACTAGCTCCCTGAACATAGTATACCTCTCATGATCTCCAATAGATCTCCCTCCTGTATACCCAATCTTTGCAACGCATGCATGCGTGTAAATAGCACCAAGATCACAAGGTCAGCCCAATGAACAATCCAGCAATGCATAAGCTCTCCATCTGTACTGGATATCAATAGCTTCTCCGCCACTTCAAACTTCTGTGATGTCTTCGTCATGTGAGTGTAGAACTGTGGATTGCAGTTGCACTGCCTAGACATGCATCAGAACGGTGGCCTGACTCCGCCACCGCCGCCACCCCAGGCTCCAAAGTTATCTCCGGGAAGCTGGTAGTTCCCCACATTCCCGCCGGCAAGGTTGTAGAGCGACATGCCGCCAGCATCGCCTCCGGTCACGCCGGAGGACTGCGATGCCGCCGGCTGCTGCCCTGGTGGCCCGCCTGACTGTGCCACTTGATCTTGCGCTTCCGCTCCAGCGGCGGCGGCTGCCACCTCCTCTTCCTCCCCCTCCAGCGGGAGCCGCTCGTACACGGCGTTCGAGAACGACGCGGCCATCAGGACGACGGGCCCCGCGGCGACCAGAGTTCCCACCACGCTACCGCCGATCACCTGGCCCTGCCCGCCGGAGAGGAACACGGTGAGGCCACTGGCGCCAGGGGGCGCGGGCGGCGGCAGCACCGTGCCGGTGAGCGAGAGGATCTCGAACCGGCCCCGGAGCGTGGCCACCACGCTGCCCGGGGGCGACGCACCCGGCTGGCGGAGCGCCACGTTGACGACGGCGCCGCCGCCGCTCAGCACACAGACGCCACGGCCGCGGCGGCGCGCGTACTCGGAGACGCAGTCGACGATATCGGCCCCCGCGGAGACCTCGAGGACGTGCGAGTGCAGCGCGTTGGGGCTGTCGCGCGTCACGATGATGGGCGGCTTGGGCTTGTTCTTGGACCCCGCGGGTCGGCCGCGCGGACGGCGGGTGGGCCCGCCCGAGCCGCCGCTGCCGCCTCCTCCGCTGCTACCGTCGACCGGGACCATGGCAGACGACGACGGCTGGTCAGCGCCAGCGCCGCCGCCGCTCCCGCCGGCGTCCGCGTCGCCCACGGGGGTCTTGTCGGGCGACGACATCTTGGAGTGCTCCATCTTGACGTGGGAGTTGGGCGAGAGCGGCGAGGGCTGCTGCTGCTGCTGCGGGCGGAGCAGGTGGTGGAAGTAGCGCGAGCTGCCGGCGCCCGGGCTGCCCCCGCCAGGGTCCATCCCGGCCATGGCCGCTTCATCTGGCCGCTCCCACCACTTGCCGGCCGCCAGCTTTGCCGTCGATCGGTCGCCCTCCACACCTCCTTCTCTTCAGCGCTAGCTCCACCGCCACTACACCGATTACCCACAGCAGACTAATTAGTTCGCATGCGGCAGTGCAGCACAGCTACGAAAGGAGAGAAGCAAGCAACACGAAATGGAAGATCTTATATCCATGGGGGGCTACTCTTTCTTTTCTTTCTATCCTGGCGGCGTCGTCAACTTGACGACTTGCCTAGACTCTAGAGCTGCTCTAAGCAATGATGCACTCTAGCTAGCTAGTAAAGCAAGCTCGCGAGCTCATGTTCCTTACCTCCAGCACAAGCTTCCCCCCGACGGCGGCGGCGCTTTGCGGCAGAGACGCGCCTCCCCCTCCACCAAGCGCGCTTTCCCGGCCCGTGAGCTAGCGCGCAGCCAGCTGCCCGGGCAAGAGCAAGACGGATCGGTCGAGGTCTCCACACGTACTAAGAGGGAGCGCAGGATCGAGAAGAGGCCGGACGTGGCGGCGAGGGATGGAGGGAGCGGCGAATTAAAGGCGGGCTGGGAGGAAGAAGGGGGGACGGCGAGGGATGGGATGGCGCTGCTGATAAGGCCCGACCTCGCAGTCTCGCTATCTCATCTATGTAGTAGTACGAGCATGATGGCTCCCGATTCCGAGAAGTCCCACCGCACCCCCCACCAACTCCGTTTTTACTCGCTCCAGGTCGGGCCGGGGAAGCGATGGCCCGCGCAATCCCAAAGCGACGCGCCCCGATCGAGCCCGGCCGTGGACTCGTTTGTCGCGTTAGTTGGACCGGCCGGCCGGCCAGGACACGGGCGCCCGCGCGGGGGACCCTAGGCTGCGTCTAGAGCCACAACGGCGCAGGCCAGCCCGAGCGCGCGCGCGCGCGGACACGTACCGCGCGTACGTGCCGCCCTAGCGCACGCGCTAGCTAGCTCCAGTGCGCGCCTGCCGATGCCGTTGTGACCGCAGCGCAGAGTCTGGTGGACAGTAGGCAGACAAGGCTAAATGAAGGCGTGAGCTAGCATAGGGGGCGCGTCTAAATTAGGGACGTTTTACTGTGCTGGTCATTCCTTTTCTTTATAGTATACGGCTGGCCAGGTACGCACGCACAGGACAGCCGGCCTCGTACGATACGGTTGTACGTATGCTTGGGTTAATTAACCTAACCAGTAACCACGACATGCTGTCATGATCATCACTCGCGCGACCGATTTAAAATGGACTGGTTGGAATCTGGACACTGCTGGGATGATGGAAGCTACGTTCACAAGTAATGCTTCGACTTAGTACGATCGTAGCACATGTACAGCTATTCTCGCACTAATTAATCATGCTAGCACTCCCATGGCTCCATGCATGAATAATGTGCCATATACGCGGCGCCGTACGTGGCCCACGGGTCCCGTCGAGACATGGATAATCAGAGGGGAGGAAGGGGATTAACTAGGGTTTGTTGTGGTGGAGCTTTTCTCCGAGGACAAGGAGGACAATCAAACCTTGGCGCTTTGCCCAGGCGTTCCATCTCTTCCGATCAGGGGTCATTGTCATGTGACACACGCGGGAGCCAACGAATTTCAATGGCCACGCCCTGATTGGTGCCATCTCCAGACGCGGCAGTACAATACACGTACTGACTGATCGAGACGGCGACAAATCAGGGCCGGGATAATACTCGCGAAAATGGGCGTGCGTCAACGCGAGCTTCACACGCATAAAAGAATTGCGAGTGTGTGCACAGCGAGTTTGTATATATCCGACCTCCGAGGTGAGGCTCTCCGACCCGATCTTTAGTTTAGTTCCGGCGGCTAGTATTCGTGTTCTTCGGAGGTGCGTGATTACGACACCCACCAGCTTTTTAACAATAGTAGTAATCTAAGATTTGACCCAGACAATGGAGCAGGACTTCTTGTGTTTGCTTACCATTGGTGTGCACATGTGTATGGTGCGTAAACAGTACGACCCACCACCATGGGTGATTATAATCGATATTTGATGAATCCTCACATGCCCTCCGGCCCCTTCTTCGCCTCATGTGCAGTGGTGAAATTAGAGAACAAGACCATTGAGGTCAGCTTCGTTGCTTTAAGGTGTACTCTCGGCAGTGACAAAGACAAATTAGTGCAAAATCGGGCAATAGCACCGGTTCGTAAGGCCCTTTAGTACCGGTTCGGTAACCGGCACTAAAATATGGACACTAAAGGTCCCCCTTTAGTACCGGTTCAGCACGAACCGGTGCTAAAGGGCAACCACGTGTCACGAGTCAGCTCCAGGGGCAGGGAGCCCTTTAGTACCGGTTGGTGACACCAACCGGTATTAAAAGGTTGGGGGGTTTTGGGTTTATAATTTCTTTTTCATTTAATTTTGTATTTTTCATTTAATTCTTTTTCGTTTGCTGGTATTTTACGATACTACATATTGTACACATTATGCATATATATAAATAGAATTTCTAGTAGAACCGATCATATATATATGTATATATATATCATCGAATGTCTCACAACCACAACCACCATTAATTAATTCACACATATATACACACATGTTAAATACAATTAGCTAGTTATATACAATTTCTTCTAATTGGTGCCTTCGGAGCCAGTGGCATTAGACTAATTGGTGCCTTTGGAGCACGATAACAATTGGAAGTGCTTCATGGGGGCGGTAGCGGGTAAAAGTATTCTCCTTTGGGATCTATGACCTAGTCGAGCAAAAATCCCGCTATTTCCTCTTGAATTGCTTCTATGCGGTCGTCTGGTAGGAGCTTCTTCCGCACCTCTTTGAACTGTTAAGAAGGAGATCAATATGCATGTGTATTAGTTGTGTGACTAGATATCGATAATGGTGTAAAAATTGTGAAGAGTGTTCTGACAAACGTACCCACTCATGTCTTTGAGATCTGCTCCTTTCGGACGCCATCATGCGAATGTTCTCGCAAACGCAGTATGCACACAGATTATTCCCCGGCGCCTGCTTCAGGGCCTTTACGAGAATGGAATTTGATCAGATAATAATTAATCAAGCATGATAATTAAAGAGATGACCTCTTCGCATAGGTGAACTAGAACGCGCGTCATGATGTTGAAGAAGGATGGTGGGAACACCAACTCGAAACTGACAAGACATTGCACCAAATCATTCTCTAACCTTGGTATGATTTCTGGATCGATTACCTGCTGAGAGATTGCATTGAGGAATGCACATAGCTTCACAATGGCTAATCAAACGTTTTCCGGTAGAAGCCCCCTCAATGCAACCGGAAGCAGTTGCGTCATAATCACGTGGCAGTCATGAGACATTAGGTTCTGAAACTTTTTCTCTGCCATGTTTATTATTCCCTTTATATTCGACGAGAAGCCAGACGGTACATTAATACTGAGCAGGCATTCAAAGAAGATTGCCTTCTCTTCTTTGGTAAGAGCGTAGCTTGCCTGACCCTGATGTATGCCGTCTTTTCCGTGCATACGTTGCTGGTCCTCCCGTGCCTCAGGTGTATCTTTTGTCTTCCCATACACGCCCAAGAAGCCAAGCAGGGTCACACAAAGATTCTTCGTCATGTGCATCACGTCGATTGCGGAGTGGACCTCTAGGTCTTTCCAATAGGGCAGGTTCCAAAATATAGATTTCTTCTTCCACATGAGTGCGCGTCCGTCAGCGTCATTCGAAACAGGTTGTCCACCAGGACCCTTTCCAAAGACCACCTTCAAATCCTTGACCATATCATGTACATCAGCATCAGTACGGTGGCGAGGCTTCGTCCGGTGATCCGCCTCACCTTTGAAATGCTTGCCTTTCTTTCTTACGGGATGCCTACTCGGAAGAAATCGACGATGTCCCAGGTACACATTCTTCTTACAATTAGTCAAACATATACTGTCGGTATCGTCCAAACAGTGCGTGCATGCGCGGTATCCCTTATTTGTCTGTCCTGAAAGGTTACTGAGAGCAGGCCAATCATTGATGGTCACGAACAGCAACGCCTTTAGGTCAAATTCTTTCCCCATGTGCTCATCCCACGCACGTACACCTGTTCCATTCCATAGTTGTAAGCGTTCTTCAACTAATGGCCTTAGGTACACATCAATGTCGTTGCTGGGTTGCTTAGGGCCTTGGATGAGCACTGGCATCATAATGAACTTCCGCTTCATGCACAACCAAGGAGGAAGGTTATACAAACATAGAGTCACAGGCCAGGTGCTATGGTTGCTGCTCTGCTCCCCAAAAGGATCAATGTCATTTGCGCTTAGACCAAACCATACGTTCCTTGCGTCATCTTCAAACTCCTTCCCGTACTTTCTTTCGATTTTTCTCCACGGCAACCCTTCAGCGGGTACTCTCAACTTTCCGTCTTTCTTACGGTCTTCTCTGTGCCATCGCATCACCTTGGCATGCTCTTTGTTTTGGAACAAACGTTTCAACCGTGGTATTATAGGAGCATACCACATCACCTTGGCAGGAATCTTCTTCCTGGGGCGCTCGCCCTCGACATCACTAGGGTCATCGCGGCTAATCTTATAGTGCAATGCACCGCATACCGGGCAAGCGTTCAAATCCTCGTACTCACCACCATAGAGGATGCAATCATTAGGGCATGCATGTATCTTCTGCACCTCTAACCCTAGAGGGCAGACAACCTTCTTTGTTTCTTACGTACTCTCGGGCAATTCGTTGTCCTTTGGAAGCATATTCTTTATCATTACCAGCAACTTTCCAAATCCCTTGTCAGATACACCATTCTCTGCCTTCCATTGTAGCAATTCCAGTGTGGTGCCCAGCTTTTTCTTGTCACCTACGCAATTCGGGTACATAAATTTTTTGTGATCCTCGAACATGCGCTGCAACTTCTTCTCCAAATCACTTGCACAGTTTCTCTTTGCATCGGCAATGGCCCAACCTAGATCATCAACGGGCTCATCTGATGCCTCTTCTTCAGCTTCTTCCCGCATTGCCGGCTCAGCTTCTTCCC